CTGGTCTGGCATGAGAAAGCCAGTCGCACTGCTTTGCAGACGAGTTCGTTATCACACATGCTACTCTTTTGGTACAGACATACAACATGACTGCAGTCAAGGAAATTGCAGAACAATGTCGTCAATTATAATTAAGCTTAAATAAGTTTATTGCAAACTTTAATCAAATTATATTCTTTGTGTGAAAATTTGGCTTATAGTGTTGACCGAATTATTATATAAATTGTATATTTAAATTATTTTTAAGTAAACAATTAACAATAAACGAATGTACTCTCCCAGACTGTACAAAGAACGAGATTCTTATGTACTGTATATACCTACAGTACACGCCTTCGGTTCATTATCACTTACAAACACTCTTTTGGTACAGACACACAAACATGACATTTCCGCCCCCTGGTTTTTTGCCTGTATATTTTTTTCAGGGTCACAATTTGGCAAAGTGTAAAAAAGCAGTTATTTTTAACATTTTTTATTTTAAAGATATTTTTATCCATGTCAAATTGTGACCCTGAACAAATATAGGCAAATAGCGATCCAAAAAGGATCCAAAACAATCAAAAACTGAAATGAAAATATTGCAAAGTTTATTGAGAGCAAACTTAAGCATGATGCAGTTTTGAAATCTTGCAAAATTTATCATTTTTAAAACTTGTCAAAAACAATTTATCCGAGCGGTGCCATTATTTAGTCATACCGTACGTATATGTATTATTGAGGACTAAAGTAATTGATCAAGTTCTTATCAAATTACATGTTAATCTTCTGTGTTTATCTATTCTTCATATGATAATATACATATACAGTATAGTAGGTATAGTAGTGAATTAGACTTCTGACTGAAAACCTAAGAGGACTGGGCTCCTTAAAGGGACTGTAAAGGAAAAATGAAAGGGGGGTATAGGCTGAAACCTTAGAATCTCAGGAGTTGAACGATACCTAAAAACTTCTATCTGATGTTCCTGTCTCGAGAAATTGGCATATATACATATATACGTTTTGGTATAATTTTGACACAGTTTTATATCCATTTCTTGAGATTTCACCAGATAGAACTCTAATAGGTCTCGATCAACTCCAAGAGATTCTCAGGTTCCAGTCTATACATCCTTTCATTTTTCCTTTACAGTCCCTTCTAAATAAAAAAATAAAATTCACATTTGTAACATCATGCAAGGAAATATGCTCACATCCACCCCTGTTTAGTTAAAAAGACTGTCGTATAAGTGAGCCTTCAATTTGAGATTTAGTATGTCTGATTCACAACGGTACTCTTAATTCTCTCTGTATATATTAAATAAGGGAGAAAATTTAAAACTTGTTAAATGGGGGCCACTTTTTATTTCCATTTAAGCCATGTAAAATTGTTTTTTTTTTAACTTTTCCAGAAGTTTTGTTTTATGAAAATCTCAAATTTCTGGAATCAAAAAATATTTTTAAAAATTTTAAAGAATAACTTTTTATAAATGAACAAAAAAAAATTAAGTAAAATAAATACTTTTTAAAGGTATTATTTTTTTGTTTGACTTTGGATCTTACCATAAAAACACGCAAAAAGTTCAGCATGTTTTGAGCATAAACCTCTCAGTGTTTTCACGTATTTGCGAACCAGGATTCCCTCACTCCTGTTGCAACATGTTTAAACGGATCAAGGTATCTAAATATTGCTTATTAAAAACAACCTCAAAAACCATAAAATCAAATCTCGGGAAAACCTAAAAAATGTGTACGACGATGAACAGTTTCAAACAAATTAAAACATGTTTTTTATATTTTTGCGACAAATATTGTTTTAAATATGAGAGTTACATAAATTAAATAAATTAAAGTTCCATTTTGTATTTATAAACTACATTGTATCATTCTTTTCTTCATCCTAACCCCCCCCCCAAAAAAAAAATACTTTCTCCCCATTCCATCTTTCCTTTTACCGGTTCTTCCACCCTCATTCCCTCTTAACCTTTCCCCCAATTTCTCCTTTTCTTCTCTTTTTCCCTCTCCTTTAACCCCTCTGTACTTTCCACAAATTATTTTCTCCCTCTCCTCTTTCAACATCCTTTTGCGGCCTTTACATTTCCCTTGTTCCTTTTCCACTTCTCCTTTCTCATCTCACCAATTTCCTTTTCCATCTCTCCTTTCTCATCACTCCTCTTCCCCTTTCCTTTTCCACCTCTCCTTTCTCATCTCTCCTCTTCCCCTTTTCCATTTCTCTCTTCACATGTAACGCTTCCACCCCTCTCTCTTATCACTTGATTTCTCCTTCCGTTTTTTTCCCATTGTTTTTCTTTTTACTTGTCTTAACCCTATCACATATGGGGGAGGGGGAGGGGGGTCAACACCCCTCACCTTGTGTTCTTTTCTGAATAACTTAAAAATGGCCTACATTAGAGCGCTAAAACTTTTTCAACATCATAGTTATGAACAAATTTGCTAAATTTTGTTTTCGATGCGCAGGGTAGGTTGGAGAATATACAACCGCCGGTCTGTGTTAAAAAATCTGAAATGGTTAATGCATTTTTGTTAATTAAGGTACAGGGCTAAATTTTATATTTTAAAAGGCCTTGAAAAATGGATACAAAAACATGTGTCATATATTAATATTTGTCTAAAGTAAAAAAAGATTTTTTTTAAATGTTTCACATACTTTTTGAACTTTTTAAAAATCCTCCCTTACACCCTAACCATTAAAGTTAAAGGTCTAACTTTACTGAGCAGGCCTTGAAAAGTTGGACTACGGACATGTCTCAACTCTAAGAGAAAAATCATAGGGGGGGGAGAGGAAATCACCCCCCCCCCATCTATGTTAGACAAAAATAGCTCAATCGGGGTAGATTTAATTTTTGTTGGTTGAAAATTTTGATATGTGTCCATTAGTTTTTAATTGTATTGAATAGGTATGCTTGGTATAAATTGTATTTACAGATAAGATAAACCTACAGACTAGTTTACCTTTGCAACATGGTGTCAGCACAAGTATAGATTTTATGAGAAACATAACTTTTTATCCTTTAAACCTAGGGCTGGGTATGATCAGAATTTTTTCAAACCGATCGTTAACGGTTTATTAAAATCGGTAAAAAAAAACTTTCTGTTAGCCGCTCATTCTTTAGCTAAGAACTGAATGTTAGATAAGATAAGATGATATTTTTTATTGCTAAAAATACACATTCAAGTTATAATGTTACAGGCAAAGTATTTTTATATTGTTTACTATATGTAATTCTAGCAATTAGGTGGAGATTAGCTATTTACTGTTTGGGTATTATATCCCCACCTAATTAATATTAAAACGTTAACAATATGATGAATATTACTAGGTTTTGAAAGTTTACAATAAGTCAGGGATTACTAATTAAATTTAGAGAGACCGAGGTGCAGCATAACAAAATAATTGATTTTTCAGTTTTTAGTTTAGTACGTTTAACAGAATAAAATTAAGCATGTACAAAAATCTACATTCTATATTAATTTTTTTGCAAAAATAGCAAAAGGGCTTATTGCACTTTGAGATGTAGGCGTCAGATAACATTTGAAATAATTTTTTTAAAGATCTCTAACGAGGCACTTCTTTTTAAATCAAGTGGCAGTTTATTCCATATGTTAAGAAGTGCATATGAGGGAAGATATTCTAACGAGCCCGTATTTAAAATGTTAATTTTAAAGTTAAGAGATCTTCAACATTTCCGAGTTTTTTAAAAGTGACGTTAATGTTCCGTTAGTTAACGATATTTTCCGTTCTTTCTCAAATTTTCCATTTTTTAACGATATGAATTTGATTAACAACGTTAATGGAAATATTTTAGAAATGGTTTACCGTGCCAGCTGTTAACGAGCCGTTAACGATTATTTTATATAAACATAGGCGATACCGGAAAATTTGTAGACAACAAGAAAAAACATAAGAACGCTTAAAAACCAATAAATTTATCTAATTCTTTTCTGTAATTTACATGCAATTTTAAATTGAAAAATTAACAAAAGTTGTCGTTATTTTTAAACACAATCGTTCGTTATTTTTCTTTCAAGAACGGGTATATCCGCTCGTTCACAGATTTTGCTTATGGTTTATGGACTCTACAGTAAATTTAAAAAAATCTGTTCGTTAATGGACTCCCAGCCCTGACTACATCCATGTTGAGACCAGGGGGGCTGGATCTTAGTTACCTCTCCGTGTGTACTAGCCTGAGTGTACCCTTAGTACATAGTTTACTGATAAAGGATATTACGAGATTATGGCCTAATGATACAATACAAACATCAAATATGCAGTACGCTTTCGGAGTACAAGTGTAAGGGGAGGTTTTGTATCTTGAATTTTACTCAGTTTTCTCAGATGAAATATTGCTCTGTAAAAGACTGTAATAGTACGTCTTCCTGTGAAAATATAATCCTGCATACGATAAAGGAGTAGTGGAAGATAATAGTTATATGGAAAACAAATTCTCCATTTAAATAGTTTTAGAAATCACCCCCGAGTACTGTAATATACAGATTGACCTTTGGAAGTGAAGTACATGGCCTGTACAATTAGTAAAGGATTAGCGTACATCATCACTCTATATACTATAACCTAGATGGTTGAGATACATTTAGGGCAGGCAAACGCTTTAGCCTTGGTCTTTGTACGTAGACATTTATACTTTTTATACATTGCCATTTTCTGCTTATGCACATTTAAAACATTTCATAAGCTGTGTAGTTAGTGTGTGCACAGTGATTTAAAACCTCATTTTTCTGGCGTTAACATCTCTCAGGATTTTGCGAAATACTCCTTGGAAACTGAGGTTGCAACAAAGCACTTTGCAGCTTTGAAGAACTACAAAATTAGTAATAATGTTAGAGAGTCAAACCATGGACATTTAGGCCTGTCGACACTTGAAAACTAAGTTGATACCTGGGTATAGAACTAGATTGCTGTGTGTACAGTGTGCATTCACTGGTGCACCAGTCCTGAGTCTGAGTATACTAGCTGCTTATATAATCAATGGTCATACTTCGAACTCAGATGTTTAAATAAAAGTTTGTCCTGAAACAGAGTTAGAAAGATCTAAAATTCTACTCCATATATCTTTGCAAGCTGCTGGTGGAACCTTTGATATGTTACACTTTGAAAACCTTGCTCTTCGCTATGCTCAATTTGCTGCTTTTTTTAAGGAAATCAAAGGGTATGTCGGGATTGACGTACGCTTTAAAAATCAAAATATTTTTTAACCTGGGAAACACCAGATACTCTAGCAAAATCTAAATATGTAAAAAAATTTCAAAATTCGACATATATGTACAGTTTATGTACCTTCAGACATATATGTACAGTTTATGTACCTTCAGACTACAGAAACATCAATTAAAACTAGCAAAAGCTGAATACTCCTGAGCTGTATTTTATAAACAATCATATTTTATACCAATCTAACATGCAAAGGGTTATGCGCATTCTAGATCAACTTTATCATTTCAACCATCAGTCCAACCCCCTCGGCCTCTGAGTTGAATCCCGGAACTGGAGAGCAGATGAGAAAGTTTTTGTCAAAAAGTTTAGGAGGGAGAGGGGTTTTATGTTTGACTTTACCAAAATAATGTTTTTTTTAATTTCCCAAATATTTTTTGACAACCGGTCATTTTTGTCAATACGACCAGAGTTAATAAACACTATAAGACTTGTGTTGTGAAAGCAATTATACAATGGTACCATACTGAAGTTTTGGTGCAGCTGAAGTTCTGCTTTGTTAGAAGCAGACACCAGTCTTTAGTTAAACACTGAGCGACCTCTTGGTACAACCATCTTTTTCAACTTATTCACTTTAAATCCACAAAAATCAGGTATCTAGAACCACCATTACTATTTACCAATCAGGTATCTAGAACCACCATTACAATTTACCAATCAGGTATCTAGAACCACCATTACTATTTACCAATCTTCATTGTCCCTTAAATGTTGATAATGTCTGTGTGTATAAGACGTACTTTGGCACATAATACGCACAATTTTTAAAACTGGTTTTTTATAATATCTTTTTAAAAATATTCAATAACAAATACAATGTTAAATTTAGACAAATATCAAAATAACACTTTCATAACAGTGATCCAGACAGCCGTAAATGGCCTTTATCCATTGTGTTTACCAACCGATAGATATATTTTTGTAGCCCTGATCATGAATATATCACCATTTTAATAGATTTTCATGCCAATAAAATATAAATAAAGCTATGATAAGAGCTTTTTCAATTTTCTCCTTTAAAATTTTAAAATAACCCTCCGCGAGCCAGGGCTTTTAGAAACAGTCTGTTAAGTTTTGAAAATAATAAGACAAAAACTGGTTATTAAGGAGAAAATTATGTATATCTCTTTACCAGACAACGCTTTTAGGGTACCGTTGTACATATGTACATATAATAATGGAAAGTCACTTTATATTATCTTTACAATTACTTAAAGGTGACGAAATAACGTTTACAATGATTTAAATGTGACGAAATTACGTTTGCAATGATTTAAAGGTGACGACATTTCGTTTACAATGATTTAAATGTGACGAAATTACGTTCACAATGATTTAAAGGTGACGAAATTACTTTTACAATGATATAAAGGGGACAAAATTACGTTTACATTGATTTAAAGGGGACGAGATTACGTTTACATTGATATAAAGGTGACGAAATTACGTTTACAATGATTTAAAGGGGACGAAATTACGTTAACATTGATTTAAAGGGGACGAAATTACTTTTACAATGATTTAAAGGGGACGAAATTACGTTTACATTGATTTAAAGGGGAAATATGTTTTGTGAATTATTTTAAGATGTGTTTTGTGATATGTCAGGCATCTTCACTTGTCATCGTCAGTTTACCGATGGATGGTTTCATTGCTCCATTGCTAATTCCAATAATCCATTGATGATTCCATTGCTCTAATGATGATTCTATTGCTCCTTGGCATCTTGTCCTAACATACGCGAGAATCACAACCTGATGAAGAGGATGGTCTTCTTGTTCCCCGTTCTATAGTATAATGTTGAACCAGGGAACGATTTCTCTTCTCCCACATGCCTACAACTGGGTCTGGGTTTGGGTTCATGACTTCGTCTTCTTGGACCGATCTATCGGTCATCACGGGCAGCTGTAGTACATTTGAATTTCCGAGCCGGGTCATCCTTTCCGGTCCCAGTTTGTACTGTACCTAGCTCTATGGACAGGACTAGCTGGTGCAACAAGGTTGACGCGGTCAGACTTTATGCTTCATTTAGGTTGAATTTACTTTTACTAAAGGGGAAGAGGTGCGTGTCATGTCTAGTATCGGGGGATATTACTATTGTTATTTTCATTTTAGGTGAAGATAATGTGGTTCTACGACAGTTTGGCTAAAAATGTTTTGTCTCTGTCTGGTATGAACGATGTTCTCATGAAAGCCAGGTATATATCTGAAGAAAATGTCTAAACTCCTCTTTAGTTTTTATCAGCCTAAATGCGCTGTTTTAATCTCTCCCAACCACAGGTATCCCTCCAGTGTTCTCTAATATGTATCAATCCTGATATAACACTCTCTATATTCAAGTAAGTATCAAATCCAGATACAACACTCTCTTTATCCTCAAGTTTGTATCAATCCTGATTTAGCGACGGCTAAATAAAAGACAAAAGTCTATAAACAACTAAATATATTTTTCATATGAATAAACCAAGAAACAAGATAACTAATATGGCGACTGTTTATATATCACACATGAGTTTTGATCAGGTAACTACTTGCAGACATTACGGCGGAAAGTAGGACGACTTGTTCGCCACACTGATGTCTTTCTTTGTGTATTAATTTAGATACAACACTAACTGTATTCTCACGTTTGTATCAATCCTGATAAAATTCCTCAAACTCTGTCTTCTCTACCTTACCTGGTAAATATATACTACACCGTGAATAACAAGAGTCTGTATTTATATATAAAAGGTACAGGTAAATAAGTTGACCGCAGCTATGGTCAAGGAACTAAATAACGTCTATTTACGGGTTACAAATATTTAAATAAAATAGGGTTTATATTATTTTCTTAGCTTGGTTTTGAGATTCTTAGTTTCAGTGGGTCGACTTTTATGGGAAAAATAGTTAAAATCATAGTCTATGACAAAGCGCGGGTAAACGGTGGAACTAACAGTTGAGCAAAGATGGGTCACCAAATTGGAATACATATATATTAAATTTGGTTTTTTAACATTCTACTGTTAAGTATTATATATTTCTAAAAAATATTATTTTGTATACACTATACAATGATATTTTCCTGCACTGTTTAATGATACCGAACTTTTTAAACCTCTTTTTTTTAATTGTTTTTATTTTACTGTTTTTTATTGTTTTTTATTGCTTTTTTATCGTTTTTTATTGTTTTTATTTTTTTTTATTGTTTTTTATTTAATGTTTTTTATTGTTTTTTAATTGTTTATGTAAAAAAATAATTCAAATTCTTTTAACCTCTCTTTAAATTTTTCTTGAAACAAAGCAATGTATGAACTAATTTTTTAATCTTAAAATTTATTTTACCAGGTTTAACATTTTGAATTTACAAAAGTCAGATGTATGCGATATCCCTGTTTTTTTCATTTAAAAATTGATTAGTTTCAATCGTGTTTTTTCTATCAAAAATCCACGACGATATTTTTCACATTGAAAAACTAGACAGTAGAATTTCCTAAAAGTCGTCTCTGAAGTCTCATCCTATGTGGGTAGCCCTGTATTTGAAAATGATTGTTATTGAGGTTCCTTTTGAAGCGGGGGCAGGAGATGAAGGTTGAGATGGAGGAGAGGTTGGAGAAGTGTAACAGGTTCCTTTACCTCTTCTTCCTTGCTCCTAATACACCAGAGGTATTATTTCAAAACTCTGGAATAGGAAGTCAACTTTTAGACTCCCTTTAAATAGTCCAATGAACATGAGGCAGAACAATTGTGCAGTGTAAACAGACCTATTTTAATAAAGTGGTTTAATAACTTACTAGTAAAAATAATTGCTTTGAAAAACATCAAATGCACTTCAGTATTGATCTGATGTCGTCTTCCTATTCTACAGTTTTCTTTGTATTCCTTTATTGAGAAATTTTAGCCTGTAAGGTTTTTTAAATGCTTTATAAAGATTTGATATTAAATCTAATTAATAATTAAATTGTCTAAATAATTAATTTGTTTGTTTACTTACGATACATTCTATTTACCGCTTTAATTTGACCAAGACAATGGATATTAATCTAAAATAAATTGATCAGAAGACCAACACTTTTGTGTGGCGAACTTGTTGTACAAGCTTGATCTCGATATCAAATTGCACACTTATAAATTGGAAGAAAAATGTTTGATTCCTTCATTTTATTTATCCCTGTAGAGTATTACTAGTATGGGATATTGAAAAGGAATTATATAAGTTCTGACTTTATGATATTAAAAAATGTAAGATTTTTTTTATTGGTTATGATACAAGGTTCTTTTTATTCAAATGTTTACTCGTTTATTTGTATTCTAGTCCAGCCCTACTGTGGAGGACCTGGCATCCAGCCTCTCCTTGGTCCTGGAGACCTACACGGTTCAGACCCAGGACGGGTACCTCATTCAGGTAGAGTAAATGCCGTCTTTATAGCGTAGCATAATCCCCATATTTGTTAACCTGAGCATACCTAGATAAACATGAGCTAAGTAACATGATTAAAACATACATTGTAACTTTATTAACTAGGTTTATATCTATCCATTTTAATCTTCTAAATACGTACATTCAACTTGAATTACGCTGCAAACATGTGTGGAGATAGCTTAACTACATTATATCTATCCTCGCTGATCTTATAAATACATACATTAAAGCCATTAAATGTACGTAGATAAATATACCTATATTTTGATTGCTTAACTATGTTATATAGAACAGCGCATAACTTGTAATTACGCTGTTAAAGGCCTAATTCTAATCTAAACTATAGAAATATACCTTAGTTGATATATAAACTCCACTTACAGTGATGAGAGTAATTTGGTTTCGTTGAAACATATGAATTGATATCGTTGCCTTGAGTTTTGGCATTGATCGATTGATTGCTATTGCCCGGTTGACATAGCTAACAAGATCCTGCCCAGTGGTAGTACATTGATTGTTCACAGGATTGCAGCTGTGTGGTTCTTGTCCTGTTTGAGACATTATCAATTGATTTCTATTGTCCAGTTGACATAGCTATCGAGATCACGCCCAGTGGTATTGGCGTTGATAGTTCACAGGATTGTAGTCGTGTGAATTGTGTCCTGTTTGAGACATTGAATTAATTGCTAGTGTCTGTATTGATACTGATAGCTAACAGGATCGTGCCCTTTGATTTGGCACTGATAGTTACAAGCTTCCGATTGTTTCTGGGTTTAAACATTGATAGCTAAGTTAACTAAACTGTACCTGGATAGATACTTGTTCAAGAAATTGTTATGGAGTAGGCGTTTACTACATTCCGTTCATTTGCAAACAAACAACTTATCAGCAAACAAACACATGTGTTTAAGTTGTTTTTAGTTTCTCAACTTTAATAAACGGATATTGTGGCATTTTCTTTTTTTGATTACAATTGTGATCGTAACTTTTGTACTCATCACTGTTTATCTTATTCTTAAATTTTGATACCTATTATGCAAATTTTTATCAGCACTAAGGGCAAGTAAGTAATCAAAGGCCTTTTGTATGCTGTAAAAGTTATCAATGAAAATGGCCTCACATTTAAGATTAATTCGTAAAAGAGGGGCGTAAAGCTCCCTGATTTGATCATTGACTGTTTCCAGGTCCACCGTATACCAGGAGCAGGTCCACCAGTCCTTCTTCAACATGGACTCATGTGTACTTCAGCCTGCTGGTTAACATCAGGTCAATTTCACTCACATATTCAAAATTATTTCAAAAATCCTACAATTATAATTTTAAAAATCTTCCAATAATAATTTCAAAATTCAATAATAATTTCAAAACCCTCCAATAATAATTTCAAAATCCTCCAATAATAATTTCAAAAATCCTCCAAAAATCATTAAAAATCCTCCAATGTAAATTTCAAGAATCCTACAATGATAATTTCAAAAATCCTCCAATTATTAAGTTTAAATGTTTACTATTTTAGGGAAGAATAGTTTAGCGTACATGCTCCACAAAGCTGGATATGACGTATGGCTGGGAAATGTTCGCGGCAATAGGTAATCCGCTGATTAATTGATTTATATAATTATTGATTTTTATTTTATTTATTCTATTTATTCGTACACAACTATAATGGTACAATTTAAAATCAACGAAGAATGATATATATAACATATAAAATTAATATATTTTAATATATAGTCGAAAACAATAAAATAAAAATAAAAATAAGTTAGTTAGTTTTTACATATATCATCAATAATTACAGATATTTCATCATAGTTAATTCCTTCTAAAAAATTTTGATTTGACCGGATTAATAGTAAATCTTTTATCAGTGGAATTCTTCACGCATTTTCAGCCGGATTCGAGTAAATCATGTTTGACTTTACTAGAGACTTGTTCAAGGACAGTTTATCTAAATATGATTCATTTGCAATATTAGATAAATTCTTACATGATTTTGTTCTTTGGTCATTTTTGCATAAATCAAACAATAGTCGGATGCTGAGCTTGGACTTATACATATAGATTCGCAAAATGATACAAATCGGCTACACAACATAGTTTTTAAATGAATTTGCTCAGAAATTTGTTCAATAAAATATCTATGAGTTTGTCGTGGCAATCCAAATAAAATACGAATAGCAGTATTCCAAGAAGTTTACAGTTTTACAGTGTTAACACAAAACAAATCCCATAAGTTGGAACCATATAGACTAGATGCATATATGTTATAAAGCTTAACAACCATTGTAGGTTCAGAAAAATGAAATTCTTGATTCAAAGAGTGAATTATTGATATAAACTTCCCACGTTTCAAATTACAATCATTGGAGTCTGGACATAGAATTATAGGTTTCCAAGATGTTTAAATTCATCTACATATGGTAATAGGACACCATTTAGAATAATCGGACATACATTATTACTATCAATATTAAATTTATTCTTATTCTCATTTTAAACTGTTCAGGTATGGGTCGGAGCACACAAAGTTGTCTGATTTAGAACCAGATTTCTGGAAATTCACATTTCACCATTTTGGAACCTACGATATCCCCGCCATTATTGAAAAGGTAATTTGAACATAGATAAAGGGGAGAGGGAAATGATAGTTTAAGCCTTTCACGATGGGGGGGGGGGGTAGTGTTTTTCTCAAAAACTTGAACTCGGCTTAAACACGCATACATAATACATTCAAACGTATAATGAAATTCTATTAACCAATCCTTATCCCTAAAGACGGGATTAAATTCTATTTTAGAAAAACGTTTACAGTAATTACCTTGGTCGTGTACAGTGTACTTAATAAATATCCCTTGTAATCAAAAATGCAAATCTGGGAGAGACTGAAATAAATTATGTTGGCTCTAAAACCACAAGGCTTCGATCATAAATCTTTTTAACCACGCATTATAAAGGTTTTGTGATAAAAAACTATCGGTCGGAGCATAAGATTCGCTGATTAGCAAGAATACAACTAAAAACCAACTCTGAATTCTGAAAGTTTTCCATGGAATTCTACAAAATTGCACACAAAAAATCTTGGTATTTTAAGTGTCTGGTACGGATAAACTAAGCTATATCGGACGCTCTATGGTATATATCTAGGTACTTGAAGTGTCTGGAACGGATAAAGTAAGTTTTATCGGACACTCTATGGGTTCCACATCTATTCTTGTATCTGCATCTCAGGCCCCCCAGGTTAATTACACTTTTATTACTCCACTTAAAACATAAAAGATGACTTGTAGATTTAACAATGATGTAATTGTTGTTTTTAAGGCATTTCTTTAAATCACGCAAATGTGTGCAATATAAGACTGAATTGTTACAGGAAAAGGAAGCGTAATTTCAAGACAAAGATGGCAATGCCTTTTTCACAATGATAACATTAAAAGCTTTGTCTGATTGAGCATAAATTAGATATCAATGTTTAAACCTTTCCTTCCATAAACTACATTGGTCGACAACTTGACGTCTCCTATATTGGTCGTCAAATTTACGGAGAAATATCTATCTATAAGGTAGGAATTTAGCATGAGACATCTAGTGGCCAACATTTCGTCCCTCAAAGTACACAACCTAACCGTCCTGTTGCCAGTACAAAACTGTTATTGTTAATTAACAATGTTAATGATTTTTTTTGTAGATTTTCCCTAAATTAAATCTTGTGATTCTCCTGGCTCCTGTAACTGCAGGGGAAAATATGACCAGTCCAATTAAAAAAATGGCTGGATACCATAAGTAAGATTTTTTCACTTTTAAAATAAATCTTAACCCACAGAGGATTAGACTTTAGAGCCGATTGTGCGGAAATAATACTTTTTTTCTTATATTTACGATTCCTTACAGCTGATGGTGAACTTCTTTCTTTCTTTAACTTAATTTAACCTTGGCATACATTTATGAATTATAGTTTCCTGCAGGCGTCTTCATTATTTCATCCTTTGCGGTTAATCCTGTGCCATTCGAATTATAAGCTAATCATTTAATGAAATCAATTATGTATTCTGACAATTACATGATGGTTATTATCGTAGAGTGAAAAAAATATTTTTTGGTATAAGTAATTTTTTAGCCATATTTGATTTTTCGATGTAAATAAAAAATCACATGTTAATTGTTTTTTAAAGAATTTATATAATTTATAGAAAAAGATAAAAAATACAATTTTGTAGGCAACAAAAATCTCTTGTGGAATGGTTCGGTCTGTACAGCCTACCACCAAAGGTAAACTGAGGCTGATGCCTATTTCACAACGGTACCCAATTTAAACCAGCTGTAGGTCGATAATGTGAAAGATATTGTCGCTTAAAAAGCTCTAAATGTGTTGACAATTTAACCCTAGTAGTGTATCTGCAGAAACAATACAATGACTGAGAGACTTCTCCCAAAAATAATTACTCCAGCGACCAAGCCTTATTTGACTCCAATAATAGGTTTATGGTGTAAACTCAATATTGCTTCCCCCCCCCTGATACCCCATTGTGCGCTGCCCTTTAAAAAGGGTCTGAAAACCAAATCGACAAAAATGCATTTTAATGCAATTTAGATTGCATCCTTTGTTATAACGCTGCAGAGATATATACAAAGTGCATCTTGGAGTTAAAATAATCACACGCTGAGGAAGTTTTGAGGTTACCACTTTGGCTTTGGTATCATGTGATACAGGGTAACCCAGAAAGTATATGAATTTAAACTTAATTTTTGCACAGAAAGTTATAAGTGTACAGTTGCACGTAAAACCAAGAATGGTAAAAAGATCAAAATTCTACAAAATCGTCGTAAAAAGTTTTAAACTTTTACGATGTATATATATATATCTTTGAAGCAGATCTTATAGTAGCTTTTGACAGTTAATTTCTTTTAAAATCCTTAAAGTCATTCTCCCTTTACCAGGTCAGGTTGCTACATTTATTCAAAATGATAAAAATATTTTCAGATTCCTGGAGCTGGCATGATTAAGAATAGACCATTGTTCCCTTTCTTCTCTGATACATTTCTTAATCTATTAGAGGTGAGGTAATCAACACAAATCCAAAAATTTAAGTTTCGAAAAAGCACAGGACATAGAATAACCTTTCCTCTTAATCAGCCCGATACAATAAGATGCATCTCTGATCAACAATAATGACCTATTTTTCTAAGCAGCAGTTTGGAAGATATCACCGTTGTGTTGAATGATTAACATTAAGATTAACATTAACATAAACATTAACATTAACATTAACATTAACATTAACATTAACATTAAGATTAACATTGACATTAACATTAACATTGACATTGACATTGACATTGACATTGACATTGACATTGACATTGACATTGACATTAACATTAACATTAACGTTAACATTAACATTAACATTAACATAAACATTAACATTAAAATTGACAATAACATTAACATTAACTTTAACATTAACATTAACATTAACAATAGCATTAAAATTAACATTAACATTAGCATTAACATTAACATTTGTATGTTAATATCAACATTAATCATATTAATAAATAGTATCAATGGTCTCATATAGGACCTCTAATGTAAAAATAACAATAATAATGATAATCATAATAATAATAATAATAATAATAATAATAATAATAATAATAATAATAATAATAATAATAATAATAATAATAATAATAATAATAATAATAATAATAATAATAATAATAATAATAATAATAATAATAATAATAATAATAATAATAATAATAATAATAATAATAATAATAATAATAATAATAATAATAATANGTAGGTAGGTAGGTAGGTAGGTAGGTAGGTAGTTAGGTAGGTAGGTAGGAAGGTAGATATGAAAAAGACTATATCGTATCTATAATTCAGCCAAACAATATCTGAGAATGATTTCCGTGGGTTTGACTGGGGGAGTACTGAAGGAAATCATTATCATTACAGCCAACCTACCCCACCATCTTACCATCTAGATCAGGTAGCTTTCACACATTATAGGAAGAACTTTTAACAGAGAAATATATCTTATTCACATACTTTTAGTTGAGTACACCCACTGCAATCTTCTCTGCCCAGCATGATACCCTCTCCCCACCAGCAGACCTTGCAAAATATTGCAAAACTCTTCCTAACCTTGTATTCTCCAGGTATTATAAACAGTAGAACTGTATTATCCAGGTATTATAAACAGTAGAACTGTATTATCCAGGTATTATAAACAGTTGGACTGTATTATCCAGGTATTATAAACAGTAGGACTGTAATCTCCAGGTATTATAAACAGTAGGACTGTATTATCCAGGTATTATAAACAGTAGAACTGTAATCTCCAGGTAGTATAGACAGTTGGACTGTATTATCCAGGTATTATAAACAGTAGGACTGTATTATCCAGATATTATAAAAAGTAGAACTGTAATCTCCAGGTAGTATAAACAGTAGGACTGTATTATCCAGGTATTATAAACAGTAGAACTGTAATCTCCAGGTAGTATAGACAGTTGGATTGTATTATCCAGGTATTATAAACAGTAGGACTGTATTATCCAGGTAGTATAGACAGTAGGACTGTATTATCCAGGTATAATAAACAGTAGGACTGTATTATCCAGGTAGTATAGACAGTAGGACTGTATTATCCAGGTAGTATGAATAGTAGAACTGTAATCTCCAGGTAATATAGACAGTAGAACTGTATTCTCCAGGTAGTATAAACAGTAAGACTGTATTATCCAGGTATTATAAGCAGTAGAACTGTAATCTCCAGGTAGTATTGACAGTTGGACTGTATTATCCAGGTATTATAAACAGTAGGACTGTATTATCCAGGTAGTATAGACAGTAGGACTGTATTATCCAGGCATTATAAACAGTAGGATTGTATTATCCAGGTAGTATAGACAGTAAGACTGTATCATCCAGGTATAATAAACAGTAGGACTGTATTATACAGGTAGTATGAATAGTAGAACTGTAATCTCCAGGTAATATAGTCAGTAGGACTGTATTATCCAAGTAGTATGAACAGTAGAACTGTATTCTCCAGGTAGTAAAGACAGTTGGACTGTATTATCCAGGTAGTATGAACAGTAGAACTGGATTCTCCAGGTAATATAGACAGTAGTACTGTATTATCCAGGTAGTATGAACAGTAGAATTATATTCTCCAGGTAGTATAAACAATAGGACAGTATTATCCAGATAGTATGAACAGTAGAACTTTAATCTCCAGGTAGTATAGACAATATTACTGTATTATCCAGATAGTATGAACAGTAGAACTGTAATCTCCAGGTAGTATAGACAGTAGGACTGTATACTTTCCAGATAGTAGAATCAAAGCAATTAGATAAAATTTTATTTGATTCCCTCGATGCAATTGTGCATTTATGAAAACAGAAAAGTAAAGATTACATTTTTATAAGGTCAGTTGATTTAACCCATCTTGGGTTTCTGTGGGGAGCAAATGCTGAAGAGCTGGTGTATACTCCTATCCTAGATCTGCTCAGGTCAGTTTCTACAATGGTTTCCAGCGAACAAAAACAGCGATTTTTCAGTTTTATTCATAAAATTTTTTAATCTGCTTCGCGAAAAAATGTTTTTTATTGCGAAATAGATTGATGCGAAAAAAATCGAAAACTTTTTTTACGACTGGAATGCAAAGGAATGCGAAATTCGCTGGGAACCCTAGTTTTACCCTACTCATCATGTTTTGAAGGAACTGCCAACCTAAAGTAAATTGAGCATCTGTTAAAAATGTTGCATGCCCGAGTAAAAGTGAGAAAAACATTTCTAACAAATTCAAAAATAAATTTTGCTAAGTCATGCAAAACTCATCTTAAAGTTCTATCAAATCAAAAAAATCAAGCCTTTTTTTGCAGGAATCACTCTTCTTCCCTTCAAGAAGAATAGAAAGATTAATAAAAGAAAAAGAAATCAACTCATAATTTGTAAATATTGTTTTTATTTTGCAATTCAATAATTAAATTTAAAAACATGTCATTGAATTAAAAAAAGGGATGACTTAATATACATTTGTAAATAATTCTGCACCATACTTTTTTCACATTAAATTTAAAAAAATGCTTTTTATCAACTTAATAAAGATGATTTAAAGTTTTTGATTAAACACATTTTTTTGGCCGCTGACCACCTGAATTTTATACACATTCGCCTTATAGTATTTCTTTTAAACATTTTAGAAATATTGTAAATAAATATTAAAAGTATTGTAAGTATAAATTGTAAGAATGCAGTGAAGAATTAATAAACAGAAACATAAACATTGCCATTAAATTTTGTAATCCCTATATCTTTGCGATCCAGTGACGTAGACCTTTGATATTTCAAGCTTAGATTATTTGATCTAACAAAATTCTTAACTGAAAATATATTATGAGGCTTAGAAAATTAGAAACTGTTTAGACCTACCGCCAGCTAGCTGTTTAGACCTACCGCCATCTAGTTGTTTAGACCTACTGCCAGCTAGTTGTTTAGCAGTGGCGTAGATAAAGCTGGGGTTATTGGGGTTATTTACTAATAATAATAATAATAATAATAATAATAATAATAATAATAATAATAATAATAATAATAACATCTAGGAAGGATTTACTGGATCCCAGGAGTTAGTAAACCATCTTCCTTCTACAGTGTCTACATACACTCTTCTACACTTTAGGTATACAGGGGTAGGGTGGTAGGTAGGCAGTTTGGTAATCAGGTTGGTATGGTAGTAGTTAGGTGGATATGTAGGTTTGGTATTAATTTAAGTAGTAGGTAGGCGGGTGGGTAGGTTAGTTGGTAGGTAGTTAGGTTGGTAGGTAGGTGGTTAGATAGGTAGGTAGGTAGGAAGGTAGGTAGGTAGGTAGGTAGGTAAGGAAAATAGGTAGGTAGATAGGTAGGTAGGTAGGTAGGTAGGTAGGTAGGTAGGTAGGTAGGTAGGTAGGTAGGTAGGTAGGTAGGTAGGTAGGTAGGTATAAGGGAGGTATTTTTTAGGTATTTGGTAGGTATAATGTAGGTACTTGTTAGGTATTATGTAGGTACTTGTTAGGTATGATGTAGGTACTTGAATAAAAACATCATTTGATTTATAGTTATAACGGAAAATCATCGTTTGTACAGTGGAAGGCATAGAGTCTATGTGAAATGATCATTGGTCAATTATGAGACGAGCCTATTTCATAATTTGGTTTTCTCTTAACAATAATTTTAGTTTCTATAAAATGATATTCCAGGGCCCAACAGGTCATATAGCATAAATATGTGAAGTACACCTGCAGTATGGAAACAGTACAACAAAATGGCCGTTTTACACTTTTTTCTAGTAAATTCCTCTCTATATATATATTCTATTCTCTATGCCTACCGCCAGCTAGTTGTTTAGACCCACCACCAGCTGGTTCTTAAGACCTACTACCAGGTAGTTGTTTAGACCTACTACCAGCTAGTTGTTTACAAGTAGCACCAGAGCTGAAAACTTTAGAATGGGATATCCTTAATCCCGATCTGTTGACTCATCTGGAGATTAAATTCATGAGGAATACAAGCCATATTTAATCTGGAGATTAAGAAAAAGAATGGATTAAGCATTAATCCTGATATCCACCATTCTAAAGTTTTCAGCTCAGCTAGTTGTTTATACCAACCGCCAGCTAGTTCTTTATACCTACCGCTCGCTAGCTGTTTAGAACTACCGCCAGCTAGTTGTTAAGACCTACTGCCAGCTAGTTGTTTAGACCTACTACCAGCTAGTTGTTTAGACCTACCGCCAGCTAGTTGTTTAGACCTACCACCAGCTAGATGTTTAGACCTACCGCCAGCTATCTGTTTAGACCTACTGCCAGCTAGTTGTTTAGACCTACTGCCAGCTAGTTGTTTACACCTACTACCAGCTAGTTGTTTACACCTACTACAAGCTAGTTGTTTAGACCCACCGCCAGCTAGTTGTTTAGACCTACCGCCAGCTAGTTGTTTAGACCTACTACCAGCTAGTTGTTTAAACCCACCGGCAGCTAGTTGTTTAGACCCACCGCCAGCTAGTTGTTTAGACTTAACGCCAGCTAGTTGTTTAACCAACTACCAGCTAGTTGTTTAGACCCACCTCCAGCTAGTTGTTTAGACCCACCGCTAGCTAGTTGTTTAGACCCACCGCCAGCTACTTGTTTAGTCCCAACGCCAGATAGTTGTTTAGACATACTACCAGCTAGTTGTTTAGACCCACCGCCAGCTAGTTGTTTAGACATACCACCAGCCAGTTGTTTAGACCCACCGCCAGCTAGTTGTTTAGACCCACCGCCAGCTAGTTGTTCAGAATCACCTCCAGCTAGTTGTTTAGACCCACCGGCAGCTGGTTGTTTAGTCCCAATACCAGCTAGTTGTTTAGACCTACCGCCAGCAAGTTGTTTAGACCCACCACCAGCTAGTTGTTTAGACCCACCGCCAGCTAGTTGTTTAGACCCACCGCCAGCTAGTTGTTTAGACCCACCACCAGCTAGTTGTTTAGACCCACCGGCAGATAGTTGATTAGTCCCAACACCAGCTAGTTGTTTAGAATCACCTCCAGCTAGTTGTTTAGATTCACCGCCAGCTAGTTGTTCAGAATCACCTCCAGCTACTTGTTTAGACCCACCTGCAGCTAGTTGTTTAGATCCACCGCCAGCTAGTTGTTTACATCCACCTCCAGCTAGTTGTTTAGACCCACCGCCAGCAAGTTATTTAGTCCCAACACCAGGTAGTTGTTCAGAATCACCTCCAGCTAGTTGTTTAGACCCACCGACAGCTAGTTGTTTAGTCCCAACACCAGCTAGTTGTTTAGAACCACCACCAGCTAGTTGTTTAGACCCACCGGCAGCTAGTTGATTAGTCCCAACACCAGCTAGTTGTTCAGAATCACCTCCAGCTAGTTGTTTGGTTTAGACCCACCAAGTCCACACGCAAGCACAAAAGCACATAAGCAGCACACACATATACGGTGAATTTCAGTTTTTCTTTAATTACCCGGCCACATTTTTCTTAAAATTTAGCTTTTTTTAAATTGCATAATCAATACATTTTCAGAAATGCTAGGTTAATTATGTATTTTGAATCTATCTTTGTAAGTATTTTTAGACTATTTGCCCAGAATAATATAACCTGAATTCAAACTAAGAACCTTTCGTTAGAAAGGTTTTTAGTATTTGAATTCAGGATTATTAAATAAATTTTAATATTTTTTACTATATTGCAAAAAAATTATGCTTGAGTGTTTGCAGTTGCAATGAATTGTTTATGTAGTCTTATCTTTAAAGAATACATAATTAATAGCTTCAATAAAGGTTTGACAAAGAGTTTATTTATAGATATATTTGTCAAGCATAAATATAATATAATATAAAGACAATAATTATTCATGTAAAAAAATATTTGCTCTAGAACTCACTTTTGAAAAAAGAGATTTTTCCAGATTTTGTCAATTTTAATAATTTGTTCTTGTTTGCAAAAATGGGGAATGGGAATTTTAAAAAAAAACTATAAACATTATAAATGTTTTACTTTCAGATACTCCACAATCCTTAGTTGTTTAACATATTTTAGTGATTTATTTTTTACACTGTGGAAATATTTTTTACTCAGACAAACAATAGTTGCCAAAATGCTTTGCCGAAAATTTAAACCAATTTTTAAATTTTTAAATTTTGACTTAATAGTTTAATCCATAGAACTAAAATTTTCTCGTTTTGGTAACATAGGAAAACTAGAAGTAGCATTTCGGATTAATGTGAAACCTGTTAAAACTATTTTTCTGAAGGGTTTCTAAAATCTGCCATGATTAACCAAATGTTCTGGTGCTACTGAAGGTTTTCGAGATGATACAGCAGAGAATAAAGACAAAGGATTCCAAATACTGGATCTTCTACTCTCTTCTTTTTCCCTAAACAATGTATCGTATTTAAATCAAGTATTTATGGTTTTTTTGCTGTGTTTAAAATGCTTTGCCCAGCACTGGTAATAGTTCAATAATTCTGTTTATGTTTTTTTTCTGTCACCTAAAATTCTCATCTGGTTGCAGTGCAGCCATTTTATTTAACTCTGGTAGAGAAACATCATCTTGACTTGGCTTATTATTCATTTTAGACCTTAATAGAAATTTTGTCACTGAAATTCTTTGTATATACAAATCTTTATGGAACAAATTAATTCCAAGAGAGACCTCTCTTCTCTTTCCGCTCATATTGTACTTACCCAGAGCCCGGGATTTAAAAGCTTCGGCTTGGGTTGTATTTTCTTATACCCAACTGTAAGACCCAATCAATTAGGCCCAACTCTAATGACAGATTGTGTCAGGCGATTGACAGCTTCCCGATCTTATGCTGGACTTACGTTGTTAGAACCATGAAAATAAACCGGACCTTGGTTGGTTTTAGTGGAGAATAAGGCGCAATGTTGAGTATTATTGACATCAAAACCCAGAATGCGCCAATTGCAACCATGAAAATCCGCCAAATTTAATATTAAACTTTAGAATGAGATATCCTTAATCCTGATCTGTTAATTAATCTGGATATTAAATTCATGAGGACAACAAGCAATATTTAATCTGGAGATTAAGAAAAAGAGTGGATTAAGCATTAATCCACTCTTTTTCTTAATCTCCAGAGCTGAAAACTTTAGAATGGGATATCCTTAATCCTGATCGGTAATTAATCTGGAGATTAAAAATGAGAGAAGAACAAGCAATATTTAATCTCGAGATTAAGAAAAAGAGTGGATTAAGCATTAATCCCGATATCCACCATTCTAAAGTTTTCAGCTCAGATTAACATAATCTTGCAAGATTATCTTAAAAGTGTATGAAAAACGATTAAATTCAAATTAATATTTAATCATCTGAGAAACTGTAACAGCCAATCAGAGAAAAGCGGGCAACCAATGAGAGGACAGAAATATTCTCATTGGAGAAAACAATTAACGGATATCCAAGGAGAGAGAAAAAGAGTTGATTAAGGACTAAAATGAAAAGTTTCCACAGTTGATATTCGGATCAAGAAGTCAGGATTAAAGTTTATCCATTCTAAAGTTTTCAGCTCTGGTTTTAGAACTCAACTTTCTGGAAAAATAGATGCAACTTTAATCCGAAAGCCCAAGCCGTAAATAAGACACAATGACAACTAAGACCTGAGTCATATTTTATTGAATTTTTTAGAACTTGGTTAGGGTTTTCCATTTTTTTGTAAAAGAATATGAACTGAGTAGAATGTTATAATAATATTGGCCGCAATCGGATTGACATTTCTGCTGTTTTTTTTTCATGTTGTATTTCTTTAAATTTATTCAAATTTATATAAAAGTTTAAAGGACCTGATGTTATTTATTGGTGGAAGCTTCAAAGGAAAAGTGTGAAGTGCATCTGAAAATTGATTTTCCACGTCAATAAAGATAAAGGCAAGAACCTTTTAAGTTTTCAGTTGTCATATAAATATACTATATACAACATATATTATATAAATATATCCATGAAAATATTAATATAAATATTTATAGTTTTGATTCACATTAATATTTATTAACTAGAGCTTCTAGTCTGTAAATCATAGATTATTATAAAAAAAGTTACTAAAATTTTACAGTCATCTTTAATTTGCTGATAATTTCTTCCCACTATTCTGATATATAGTGAGAAAATTTAGCGGATATTAAAAACATGTTTTGTTGTTTCCTGAAAAAAAATTATGCTTTAATCTTTAAATATAAGTTTTAAGAATTACGGTGATATTACATTTTACAATTGCTATCATCTCTAAATTGTTGTATTCAATATTTTTTAAGAAACCATTTTTTGAATGAAAAAAAATATACCTAAGCTTTTACTTTGAAGTATTGCATCACCAGCTTGTCCTAGTCTCACCTCAACCAAAAATGAAGCAACTGTCATATTCACCATGTCACCCGGCAATAACTAAAGGTTTTGGGACAGACAGGAATTGCTTTGCATGTATAGAGACATTGTGTGGGTAGGAATTTTGTAGGTAAACTTCTTGTTCTCTGTGTTGCCAAAAATAAATCTAAAAATCTCAAATTAAAAAGTTTATCCTATTAGTAGAGATGGTATTGTGTTTCTTTTAAACAAACAAACTTTTAAAGAACAAACTTTCAAAAAGAGGATGCGGTTCAGGGAAAAAAAAACAATGGACTTAAACAAAATGGATCATTCAGAGAAATGAAAAAATTATCATTTTTTAAAAATTAATGAATTACAAAACAAAACCGTTATAAAATTTGTTGAACAAATTTTTAAAAAAACAATAGTTTTACAAAACAGACAAATTTTTGAAAAAAAACAACCTTTATTTTGAACAAATGATTTTATTTAACGAACGTTTTTACTGAACAAACAATTCTACTGATAATAGTTCAGTGAGAAAATGTACGAAATAGAAGGAAAATGAAAGATAATCTTAAGAAAGAACGAAATCAATTTTTTTAATGATTAAAAAAAAAGATGGGTCGTCACAAGTGTTGAACAAATAAAATAAAATAAAGTCTTTACCAATTAGATCAATATTTAAGAAGTAAAGGACTTTCAATATCTTTTTTTATATGCAAATTATAATATGTTCGGCTATTTAGATAAGGTTTTTTGTTCTCTTCCAGAAACAATGTTTTGAAAAAAATAACAAACAAAAACTTTTTGAGTAAATTATCCTTTTTTTGGTAAGTGTCTTGAAAGCCCTCAATGTTCCAAAAACCGGATGAAATCTTACGGTTTTAGATTATTGGTGAAATGATTTAGTGACATGGTTTCCTATGGGTATAATCATCTTTATCCCCTTTATCTTTGGAGACTTTGCAGCATAGATTTCCATTTTGTAGAATCCAGCATTATTTGGGCTTATTATTGTAAATAATGTTTCTTTTTTTTTCACCAAAGTGTGAACTCCCCTTGACAGTGCCGCTTCTTCTTGTATTACAGAACCAGGTAAAGGATTTTTTCTAAACAAATTGATATAATGTTTGGTAAAATATGAACTAGCACATATCTTCTGAACACTGAAAAACATTCTATGAATTCAACAATTCGTGTGATACCTGGATATAATATAAAGTGTTCCAATCTTTGTATCTTCAATAATCTCATTTCCCTAAAGAATTACATTAAAAAATTATTGATGCCTTTCTACTATACTTAAGATACAAATTACAAAATGAAAAAGGCACTTAAATCCTAAAAATTGTGTACTAAAACAGGAAATAGGAATTAATTGTGAATCGGTTGATATTTTACACTTAGCCATTATGTAAGAAAATAAGTAATTGGTCGTTTCCATAACTAGATTTTCACCTTTTTTCACAATTTTCTTTGATTAATTCTAACCTTGTTATCATATAAATGGGCAGAAGCCATCAAAGGGATTCGATGCAAGAATTTGAAAGAGACCTAGATAGATTAGATCAAGGTACTATAATGCAAGGAAAGTTAATTGCAGTTGCGTATACTCTGCGTACATATTGAAACCAGTTCTCTCTGGGCGGAAGTTGTAAACAAGAATAGATGCATCAGTGTTCGTTTATTATCCAAGGAGGTTAAAGCATTTAATTTTGATAATTTTGATAATTCACAAAATAGTTTCCTATGAACAGAATGTTTCATAGAATATTTTTGTGAAAAATGGATTCCATGTCAGGCTGTGACATCCGTCTTGTGTTTACTTTTCCGCCCAAATACAGTCCACTGCAGTACAAAAAAATGTGTACACCTCAGAAATAACTTTCCTTGCATTAGTAACTTGGATAAGACCATGTTATAAAGGTTTACAAGAATTGCTATTTTAGCTCAAGAATTCCAGTCAGGAAACAAGACCTTTTTCCTTTAGTTTAATTGCAGCTTTCTCAACATTGATACTTAACCCTGAGAATACTGTTTATAAGGTTATTAATATTTAATAAAAAACTTTTAACAATAGAAAAAATAATAGACAGATGTGTGGACAACAAAAAATAAAATTTTGGATTGAATACAACATACATACACTATTAAGAGTATTTGAGGCTTTTAATAGAAAATACTTACCAGTTGCTTGAAAATTACTGTATTGAGAACTTTTTACAACATAAAGTTGCTGTGTTTCAGACTCTTCCTATTCCAGTTTTAATGAACTCACTGTATGTATGTTACTATGTGTTTGTATGTATATAACATGCACCCCTCCCTGGTTAACATACAATTGGTGACCTCTCAATCAGATTTACTTATTAACACAGGCAAGAGTGCTGGATAAATTTTGAAATTCCATGTATCCCATGTAAATGTTGCAAGTATTCTTTTGGAAATTATTTATAAAAAGTGTTCTTAATCAATGTTGCTCTGTCTGTGAATTCATTGCATGTTATTATTACTTACTTTAGAACCTAGAGTCATTATTATACTTGATCCGTCCCATTTCCCAGGGTCCTCAACAACCAGAGTACAGCCCAACTAGACAAATCCTCAAAATTACTTGAAAATTCTGTAGATTTCTGTGAGTGTAACCCCTTTCGATTTCCCACATCTTTTGTTGTGGAGTATTTTTTTTAAGCCAACTCCAGTCGCGGATACAGTTGGGGGGTCAAGGGGTCAAGGGGTCAAAGTCCCCCCCCCCTTTGGAAAAAGGGGAGGTAAAGAGTTTATTTTGACCTCCCCTTTTCTGGAGACCAACTATAAGTTAGCTGTAGATTTTAAATTTTAACCAACGCTGTAAGAAATCGACTTTAATACTTTTCAATTTTAAAAATTAAGTTTATCAGAATTATCAGAATTGATTAGATTTAGTAACATTTCAGTTACATCAAAATGAAATTAGGTGTGTTAAATTTTGAAACATTTTTCAGAAATTTTACAAAAGCAAAATTGTATTCTAGTTGGAATTCTTATTGCCTGGTTTAAAACTAAAAAACTTATAAAAAAATAGCTTCCTGAAATTGAATATAATGATAAAAAATGTAAGAAAAACACTAATACAAATGAAAATTTAAATAAATTTTTGGCAAATTTAAATTGGTATTTTGAAACTGTGTTGTTTTCCTGAGACACTAATTTACTAGCTTTCCTTTTATATGTAAGTATTTTTCATGTCTGAATGCCTGAACAAAAAATTGTAAAGTACAGTTCTAAGGTGGCAATATTTTTACATATTTTAAGAGTAATTTGCTATTTTGAGCGCTTAGAATACTCAATCCCAAAACAAATTCCTTAAAAAACTGCATCCCATTCGCTATCAAGTTTTGTTTGGTGCTTCCCCCCCCCATCACAGTTTTATTGGGAGTTTGATTCCCCCCTTCACCTAGAGCTAGATACGCCCCTGGCCAACTCCCATCCAAGAACAATTCCGAGTTGGGAAAGGATGATGAATACAAACAATGTAGTTAAAATGTTCTACTATGAAAGGCTTTGCCTTATAGAGATTGAGACACCGTAGACTCCGGTTCATTTGTACCTTACTGACACGCATGCAGTCCAGGTACTAATGCAAGGAAAGTTAATTGCGGTTGTGCATACTCTGCGTACATATTGAAACCAGTTCTTTTTGGGCGTAATTTGTAAACAAGAATAGATGCATCAGTTTCGTTTAGTATTCGAGGAGGAGCAAAGCATTTAATTTTGATAATTCACATAATAGTTTCCTATGACCAGAATATTTCATCAAATATTTTTTTGAAAATTGATTACATGTCAGGCTGTGACATCCGTCTTCTGCTTACTTTTCCACCCAAAGACAGTACACTGCAGTACAAAAAATGCGTACACCTCTAAAATAACTTTCCTTGCATGATTACCTTGCATGCAGCTAAAGCAAATAGTATAGTATATGCAAGGAGAATTAAATAGAAGGAGGGGGCGATAGGGTTTTCGTACAGTTTACTGTGAGTTTTTGGACTGCTGAAGAACTAGTTTGTGCGTAACAACAATAACAAAGGCAGCCGATCTAATGTGAACAAACATGATCGAGTTAGTATACGGTGAATCTTCATCTAACGCCAGAGATGCGCCAGATGTCTGTTTATCATTTGTGTTATTCTTTACAATCTTTATTATTGTTGTTACGCAAAAAACTTGTTCTTCAGCAGTCCAAAAACGTCACAGCAAAGTTTACAGAAACCCTATTGCCCCCTCCTTCTATTCAATTCTCCTTGAGTATATGTATGTACACTGTACAGACTAAAGTATAGTATATATGTGTACACTGTACGGACTATAGTATAGTATATGTATGTACACTGTACAGACTAAAGTATAGTATATGTATGTACACTGTACACACTATAGTATAGTATATGTATGTACATTGTACACACTATAGTATAGTATCTGTATGTACACTGTACAGTAGAGACTATCAACGGATAAACAGGACAGTTGAATTGAATCACCCTCTTCCAATAAGAAGAATGAAGAGAAAAGGTTTGGTAATGGTTCATTATGAAAAGGTTTAGTAATGGTCCGTTATGAAAAGGTTTGGTAATGGTTCATTATGAAAAAATTTTGTTGATTTAATTCCATACTGATGTACAGATTGATTTAAGTCAATTCTAATTTTAAACAGAATTTTTAATTATGTTGAGGATTTTCCTTAAAATATTCTGAGTTGAAACCCCAAGCAGTATCATTCCTAGGCCAAGGCTGAATACTAGGGAGAACCTAAACAGAGAGAAAAAACTTAAAACTCTTAAAATTAATTTGCCTCTGCTTTAGACTTCTGTTTCATGACGCCTAAATTAATGCACATTACTGTACTGCTAAAACCTACAAAGTCTAATATTGTTTTCTAATTGAATCTGTCTCCTTTTTACCTAAATTGGTAGTAATCTAATAAATTTGATTTGATTGGCAATTGCATAGAAAAAGGCATTTTTTGCAGAAACAATATCAGCAAGATAAAATCATTTTTCCATTAAATAATTTTTTGATTACCTTCCACTTTAGTAAAAACCTGATGTTGAGATTAAATTAATTTCCCAAATAAGAAAAGTCTCGAGAAGAGTGAATATTACCTTATCCGCTTGGATTAGAAAAGAGCAGATGAGTTCCAATCTGGTAAATTCATCAACTAGAGAAGAGTGAATATTACCTTATCAGCTTGGATTAGAAAAGAGCAGATGAGTTCCAATCTGGTAAATTCATCAACTATCTGAGATTCAGGTTTGGCAAATAATCTAAATAAATAAAGGTAGTAGAAATCAATTACTCTGAGTTAGTTTGCTCTATTGCCATTTGCTCTTTCCCGCCAATTTCTCTGTGGGCCACTTGCTCTAAATGTTGTTAGCTTTGCATGAGTGTTTGTTAGAACAAATAATTTACTTTATATGTACATTGTAAACTAACACATCGCCTAAATTGGACATGTACCTAAAAAGACCTAAAATATACCTTTTGGCATTTTGATGAGCAATTTTAGAGCAAAAGTGTGTGGTCTATAAGGTTGTTAACCATTAATTTTAAAACCTCTATAAAATGTCATCTTCAACTTGAATCTCCTGTCGGAGACAGCCAAACCAAATTTTCAGCCCGCAATTCCCTTGTCCTCCTCCGACGGAGCTTAAAATATTTTCGTTGTTGTGAAATCATTAAAGTTAAGCAAAATATCTTCATAAGAAGCATTAGTGAATTTCGTTAAATATTCAACTGTAATTTTTCAGAAGTTAAAAAACGTATTTCAATACTGATCAACAAATAAGTCACCCCCGACCATACTTAAATAATTCGTAAGATTTTTTCTACTATTAACATTCATTATAACATTGTACAAGTAACCATGACCTATAATTTATGTTATTTTTTAGGAAATAAAGATTTTGTTATCGAATTTCTGAGACGGGGTTACTCTGTTGTGTGTGTATTTGAGCGGCCTATCGGGAAAGAATTGTCTGGGGATAATAAACATCCCCCACCAGAATCCTAACCGGCCTATTATCCTGATTTGTCTAGCGTGTTGCTGTTATCCGTCAACAAAGGTATAGAGCAAATATTTTGTGGTCAATGAGGAATAGAGCAAATTTTGTGGTCATTGAGGTATACAAATGTTGTGGTTTATAAGATATAGAGCAGATGTTGTGGTCTTTAAGATATAGAGCAGATGTTGTGGTATTTAGGTATTGAGAAAATGTTGCAGTCTATAAGGTATAGAGCAAATACCGTAGTCTATGGGGAATGTTGTGATTTATGAAATATAGAGCAAATGTTGTTGCCTATAGGTGTACGGTATAACGTGGTGGTCTATCCGGTTTAGAGCACATACTTTGGTCTATAACGTATAAAGGAGAATGGCCAATGTATATATATTTAGCAAATGGATTTAAAACACATGTTGTATAGGACTTAAACGAAATAAATTATTTCAGAGAGCAGGGTAGAGGCTATAGAAGGGCTTCGTTTTTTAATATTCAACAAAATATCATATATCAAAAATTCAAGTTGAATAAATTTTCACTGGAAAAAAAAATTCTAATGATTTATCAAAAACTATTTCTTTTCATAACATACATCAATACAATAAAGACAACTCTCGATTTATATTTTGATTTATATCAAGCTTTAAAACAGCATGGATTAACTTAAACATGGAAACAAAAAGAAGCAATCAATTTAAAAACCTTCGCTTTAATTACTTGTAATTAATTCGAAAAAAAACTTATTTACAGTCAAAACTTAAATAAAAAAGTTGTCTTCATTATATTGATTTAATCGCTTACTACTGTAGCTAGAAGGATATGTGGCTTTAGGAATAAATGATTAATTTCTAACAAAGATAAGAAAATCTAGAAACCCTAAGCAAAGTATGGAAATAAATCAATAATATTTTACCAACCTAAATATATATGAATCTATGATGGGAGGCTGGATTAGAAAAGTTGCTTTTGATCTGTTCTCGTTCTCGCATTGATAAGATTCCTTCATATAAAGAGTTATATGACCAAAGCTGAAAACTTTAGAATGTGATATCCTTAATCCCGATCTGATAATTAATCTGGAGATGAAATTCATGAGGACAACAAGCAAAATTTAATCTGGAGATTAAGAAAAAGGGTGGATCAAGCATTAATCCTGATATCCACCATTCTAAAGTTCCCAGCTCAGGCCTGATTAGTGATTAAACCTTAAACTATAAAGCAACTATGGGGAACACACTTTTCTGTGTTGGAAATAGACAAATTCTCTCAATTATCTTCATTGTCTCTGCTACCAAAATTTGCAAGTAACTTTAATAAAAAAAACTACAATTGGGAAAAAAGGATGTTTCCCCTATTCTTACTCAAATAAAGGTTTAGAGATAAAGTGATAAATCTGGCATCAAACTGGTGAGTCATTTAGAATTAATTACAAAGCCCCTTAAGTGTTTATCAAAATATTTTTGGAAAAGTAAACTCAGAAGTATTAAATTGATATTTTCTATTTGAAAAATTTCAGCTGCTGGATGGTTGAAAGATTGTCGTTGAGGTTTAGTTCTTACAAAAAGTAAATTTAAAATAAAAAATGTTTTCAAATGATTACCCTGTAGTGAACTACTATTGAGCTTAATATTTCAATTTTGTCATTGTTGTAGATTATCCACGGACAGCTGACATCTGTCAATAGTTTTAGCTTCATCTAAACAGAAGGATTGATATTAAATTATGTATACAACATCCACTTCGATCTTTTATCTTGTAAGTACCTGGAAGAATTCTGATGTAAGGAAAGGAAGTGCGTTGAATTGTTGCAAAGATATTGGTTGAGCCAGCAGCTGCCAGATATGATAGTCTGAGTCCAGCGGATGGTAGGGTAGGTGAGAATAGATCAGCTGATTAGGGTCCGTTAGGAAATAGAACTCATCTTGGGATTGAGTGAATTCTCCAGTGGTGTGATCATAACTTCCTGTAAATAATCCTTTGAAATACTTGATTTAGACGTCTCTATTTTAAGATACTGTTGACATAGTTCCAAGTCCCAATCCAGTTAAAGAACGTAATATTGGCAACCCTGCCTTTATAAGGATGTCTATTATATATGCAAATATATAGAACATGTTATTACCCAAGAAAAGTCTGAAGACAATATGGGTATAATACAATTATACATCCATTTTTTCTTTTTTAAATAATCGAAAGAAGTGCAATGTCTATCAATTGAACAAACAGTTAACATTTTTAACAATTATTGCAATTTCATGTTAATATTATATTATAATCCTATTTTTGTAATATAAATACCAGCTCCAAAGGTAGGATCAACCAATCTCCAGGAGCCATCAATATAAACTCCACACCAAGCATGGACCTCACTATTCTCATCAAACTCATCTCCTGAACAATATTAAAAAGTTACTCAGGAACACCGGTTAAAATTTGAATCACTAGACTACGTATGTGTAATGTGAATTGTACAACTTGCTCTATTGCCTTCAAGATTGACTTCAAATGACTGAAGTTTCTTCAATTTCAAAATTAAAGAGTGGTCCAATACATCAAACAAACTGCAGTTTATGCTGTTTCTGAGTATTTTTAGTCAGTATCGGAAATATTTTAACGAACAGAGAAACTTTTGAGGTATAATGGAATTAATTCCGTCAAAAAAAACTCCATTAAAGTTGTAAACATTAACATTAAAATGTCTGCATTAGTGATTTAAGTTCATTCTAAATTACGGTATTAATTCTTAATAAAATATTTTGCTCTACATATCTATCTATATTGTGGCATGCAATTTAAGTATTGAAGTTTCACTCCATTTAGGAGCTTTTCTGGCTGGACTTGAACGTTAATATTTTGGTAGAAACATTGAGGTTTTAAAGTTATCTTTACAAACTAAACTAATCAAACGGGTTGTATACATGTTCATTGACTTAAAAAATTTCAGACTCAGCCAATAGGGATGCAGTAAAGTTAAGTAAAATTGGGGGGGGGGACCCCGAAAAATGGCCCACAGCCTGTCCTCCCTATGTACTCTATAGAGATAAGATTTATTCATAAAGTATAAAAACTAAAAAGAAAGCCATGTTTATAAATAATACGGTAAAGGAGTTGAATCTTTGCCACAAAAACCTTGTATCTTTTCAGCCTAATGTCGTAGACCTTTGATATTTCAAACTATGAATTCTGGTAGATCAAATAATCTAATTTTGAAATATTAAAGGCTCATCTAGTTGCAAAGATATTAGGATTTGAAAATTTGACTTTGTGGCAAAGACTCAATTCCTTTAAGCTATTTCTTACAAGTCTGTTAGCATTCAATTAACTGAATGAATTTTCATCTATTTTAAGGGCTGTGTACACGTTTGTTTTATTATGTGTTTTCTACTTCATATGTAAAGTGACTTATGCACTTTTACGACAGGAAAACATGAAGGAATTGTCAGAATTATAAACTATGAAGCCACACGACAAGATCTCCCTCATTATTAAATAGATGAAGGTTAAATTTAAGGGAAGCGTTGTAAATTGGGCATTGAAATCTTTGCCACTTGTACAGTACTAATTAAAACTTTTTTGATGATTCCAACGTTTCAAATTTTAAACCTTAAAATGTATTTTAATCCTATTTATTATGAAAATTTCTATGATATTTTTATTTAGTATTATTTTTTCATCAAACAAAATTTAGATCTTTATAAATGACATTTTTATTTCATGAATTCTTTATTCATACGAAACTTGATAACTGTTTTAACTTTAAAGTGTTTTACTTCGAACTCTCTAATTACGCCGGAATTCATTATGCACTTTTTGCAAATTGACATTAAGTGCATTTTAGATTAAAATTGCAATTTTCTAAGTGCTGCATAGGGATGGGCAGTTTTGACATTTTGAAAAACGTTTCGGTTTGTTAACAATGAAAAAATCTCAAAACAAAAACGAAAACTATTGTTTTTGAAAGGGATGAAACTAAGTTATGATACTTTTAAGAAGAAAAATGATCGTACCAGAAACGATAGCTTTCAAAAATGAAAAAAGAGGTCGTGTTGGAATGAAAACGATCGTTTTGGAATGAAAACGATTGTCTTTGATTAAGAACGATCGGTTTGGAAACAATCGTTTAGAAATAAAACCGATTGTTTTGGAAAGAAAACGATCTTTTTGAAATGAAAACGATCGTTTCTGAAAAAAACCGACAAATATAGCATATTTGAAGGAAAATTAATAATGTGAATCTACACACCTTGCTTGAAGGAGAACATATTTTAAAATTTAACAAAAACCATCCTTTTTGCTTCAAAACTATAATTTTGTCATTTCGTTTTTCGTTTTAAAAAGCTTAAAACTAAGGTTTAACAATTCGACTTTTCTGAAAACGAATGCTAGTTAAATTTAAAAACTCCAATCGTTTTTGAACACAATGCGCCTCCCTAGCTGCGCTGCGCAACCCTTTCCACTAATTAGTAAATTATTATTAAACAATGTGATCTATTAGAAAATTATTATTAGAAAACGTGATCTATTAGAAAATTAATATATTCTCCTTCCCTTCTTTTATTTTATATTTATGTAAAATCGGAATTTTTTTCTTCTTTTTTTCTATCCTATTAAAATTTCAAAATCAAATGAATCCTAATTGCTCTGTTAAAGAACACAAGCCTGGCTGCCTGAATCCTGGTGTAAGTATAAACTCTGTAATCTTGTATGTTCTACGATTTTAAATCGTTGTGGTTACCTGGTTTAAAATCTGTTTTCCTGGCAAATCCTTGAATACTCTGGTTCTTAATATCTGCTAGTGTACACATTTCTAAATATTTCCCGCATTTTTTACAAAATAGCATTAAAACTTAAGATGTGATGTTGAGATTTAGTTTCAACATATCAAAGACCACACAAATTATATTCAGATTTTGTAAAATTGAAAAAGATTATAAACCTGTGAATAGTTTGACATAATGGCGGCAAACGCCAGCTTTCTTCATGAGAATATCAGCTGTTTCAAGGTCGTCTTCCATATAGCCAGGATCATATCTAGATATTTTACTGTTTATTTTAGTTATTTTGTTTACAAGTTTCAGATCATTTGATGAAGGAATCTAGTATTTGGTTGGTTATAAACTTTGATTTAGAATTTTTAGAAAAAGGGTTTAAATTTTAGATTTAGATTTTCATAATAATTGTTTCATGCACTATGTATTTTTTATTGTGAGTTTTTTCTAAAAATTGTCAAATGAAATTGAAAGTTGACTGACTAAGCCTATATTTCTTCATAACAATTAATTAATTCAGAATACCCATTACGCCATAATTTGATCAAAAAAGTGGAAGAAAACTTCGTTTTTTGACTCGAAAAGTGTTTATTTCTGATAATTTCTCCACAGTCTCTTAAAAGGGAGAAATGCGCAAGCAACTTTTGCAGACAAACCACAAATGAATATAAACTGCTAAAAAAAACTTTTAAAAAACCTTAGATACCTAATTCATAGCTTTTATGCGTACCATTGTAAATCACGTATTGCAATCTTTGCATGGAGGGTCAAACTTACCGCCCCTTTAAGTGTTAAATAGGTTAACCTGATATTCCTAGTGATCCAGGTATAGAATGACCGGACAGCGATCAGTTCTCGTTTACTTCTATATTTAGGAACCTGTTCAACCACCTACATATAGAGATTGAATGCACTTTTAGATTTATAGATATTGCTTTTGAAATTGTTGTTTTATAAAGGAGATAAAAGTAAAAATAAAAAATAAACAATTTTGTTAAAAAACACATTTTTTTATTTCATTAAATTGTTAACCTTACCTCTAACAAATACTTAACAAGTTTCTGAATATTTTTAACTGATTTGCTTTCTATCTCTTGAACATGATCATCCACTAGGTGGAAGAGGGGCTGACCCTCAGGACCCAGGTAAACATCCTTGGGGTCAACCGGGGGAACCACACCATAACCTGGAGGAGAGGGTGTTTATCATTATATAGTTTAGTGGAGACACACTGTAATAATTAAATTGGGTTGGTAGGGACATCCTGTAAATATATAAGGGTATTACCATATTTATATATAAATATATGTAATAGATATAGTAGCAAACCTGAATACACCTAGATATATTATGTTGTACATTATCTGTAAACCTAATTATGCTTGTAAATAACTGTGTAAAACCTATCAGTCCTTAAACCTAACTACGCTTGTAAATAATTGCCTAAAACTTGTATTTACATTCATTAATCAAACCTGTACCAAAGAACTAAAAATAAATGTTAGTTGGAATAATACTCCGCTTGATTACGGTGTTAGAGTATAATATATCCTTGTGTAGTGAACAAGACAGATTTAAGTTGTATCTTGTAAGACAGATACAGAGATCTAGTTGTATCTGAGCAATACATACTAAAGAATACAACAGCGTCTTATCTGGATTAATAGAGATTGAGAATTATAGAGCACTAGTTGTATCTGAGCAATATATACTAAAGAATACAACAGCGTCTTATCTGGATTAATAGAGATTGAGTATTATAGAGAACTAGTTGTATCTGAGCAATACATACTAAAGAATACAACAGCGTCTTATCTGGACTGATAGAGATTGAGTATTATAGAGCACTAGCTGTATCTGAGCAATACATACTAAAGAATACAACAGCGTCTTATCTGGATTGATATAGATTGATTATTATAGAGAGCTAGCTGTATCCGAGCAATATATACTAAAGAATACAACAGCGTCTTATCTNTGTCAGTTTTAACAAAAAAAAATAACATTTGTAAAATTTCTTTTCTAAGAATTAAGAAACATTTAAAAAATATAACTTTTAAAGAAGAATGTGTTAAACCTATTGATTATTATAGAGCACTAGTTGTATCTGAGCAGTATTTACTAAAGAATACAACAGCGTCTTATCTGGATTGATGGAGATTGAGTATTATAGAGAGCTAGCTGTATCCGAGCAATACATACTAAAGAATACAACATCGTCAAATCTGGATTGATAGAGATTGAGAATTATAGAGATCTAGTTGTATCTGAGCAATACATAATAAAGAATACAACAGCGTCTTATCTGGATTAATAGAGATTGAGAATTATAGAGAACTAGCTGTATCTGAGCAGTATTTACTAAAGAATTCAACAGCGTCTTATCTGGAATTGACAGAGATTGAGTATTATAGAGAGCTAGCTGTATCCGAGCAATATATACTAAAGAATACAACAGCATCTTATCTGGATTCATAGAGATTGAGTATTATAGAGAACTAGTTGTATCTGAGCAATACATAATAAAGAATACAACAGCGTCATATCTGGATTAATAGAGATTGAGTATTATAGAGAGCTAGCTGTATCCGAGCAATATATACTAAAGAATACAACAGCATCTTATCTGGATTGATAGAGATTGAGTATTATAGAGAACTAGTTGTATCTGAGCAATACATAATAAAGAATACAACAGCGTCATATCTGGATTGATAGAGATTGAGTATTATAGAGAGCTAGCTGTATCCTAGCAATATATACTAAAGAATACAACAGCATCTTATCTGGATTGATAGAGATTGAGTATTATAGAGAACTTATAGTTGTATCTGAGCAATACATAATAAAGAATACAACAGCGTCATATCTGGATTAATAGAGATTGAGTATTTTAGCTAACAGTCAGCAGGAGTTATATCTTGAAAGACAGATACATATTAAAGAATACAACAGTGTCGTGCCTGGATTGATACAAACTGGGTATTATTTATCGGACAAGCGAGTTCGAGAGCAAGTTATATCTGTGGGATACATATTGAGATTACAGAAGGTCGTACCTGGATTGGTACTGATCTAACTAAATTTATTGGAACAGGGCATTTACTACATATTTATGTATATGTATATAAATACTATTACCATATTTTGTGTGACAACCTGTATATATGTTAATATTACCATGCTTTGTGGGACACCCTGTATATATAGTAGTATTACCATGTTTTGTGGGACATCTTGTATAATATATTGTATTACCAAGTTTTTTAAGGACACCCTGTATATATAGTTGTATTACCATGTTTTGTGGGACATCTTGTATAATATATTGTATTACCAAGTTTGTTAAAGATTAATTAACTGATCGGAATTAAGGATATCACATTCTAAAGTTTTCAGCTCTGATAACATTAATCAGCTAAATCCATTTCCATTTGAGAACATATTTCCTGCATAGTTTTGGTCATTTTGGAGCCATTCTTGGGTTTCTTCCTGGTTACTTGTTTCAGAAGATTTCCAAATTTTGATTTAAGAACTCAGTATAACCGCGCGGGAATTTTTTTTGCCTTAAAAACTGAATAATTACCGTTCATGGCGGCAATATTAACTTCACTCTCTGTTTGTACACCAGCGTCCATCTTGGAACCAGAGTTTTCATCAGACGTCTTAAATAGTATTTTTTTGCCATTTTTATAAAAAAATGGAAAAAAATAATTTGAAGACAAATATTTTCGAATTGTTTTTAGCCTATAACACCCAAAGAGATCATTCTCTGTTCTGTGATAACACCCCCCGGCCACCCATGAGTGTCCACAAAAATTTCAGTTCAATCGGTCCAGGCGTTTGGCCGGCTATAGGCAACATATATGTATTAATGTCTTGTTTTTATATAGATACTAGCTGAAAGGCAAGCCTTGCCCGTGAAAAAAAAATTGGAAAAAATTTGGAAAAAAAAGTTTGCAAACAAAAACAAAAATTTTCGAGTTTTTTTTAACCTATAACACACAAAGAGAATATTCTCTTCTGTGATAACACCCCCCGGCCACCCATGAGTGTCCACAAAAAAAATCAGCCCATTCGATCCAGCCGTTTGGCCGGCTATAAGCAACATATATAGTCTTGTTTCACTATAAAGATTTAAACTGGTGGTGGATTGTTAGTATTTTTCGACGATGGATGAACAACTTTTAGAAATAAAAATGATAGATTTATTTTTTATGTGATTATGAATAGCACATAGTACTGTATCTACTTATTTCTCAGTAATTATAGTTTTTTTCCAGACTATTAATTCTAAGATTTGTCAGTTTTAACAAAAAAAAATAACATTTGTAAAATTTCTTTTCTAAGAATTAAGAAACATTCAAAAAATATAACTTTTTAAGAAGAATGTATTAAACCTATTGACCTTGGCGTCTGAAAACTGTTTCTTGCTGGGGGGGGGGGGGAAGACTTAGCTGTATATTTTCTTAATGATTCATCCAGGTCATCATCAAGGTGGAGGGACTAAACATTCAAATTTATGAACTAATCAATGATTCAAAATTATATCTTAAAAAGAGTTTAATAACAAACACTGTTTTAAGCGACTTATAGGCAAAGAGAATAGAATATATATTAGAGGGGAATTTACTAGAAAAAAGTGTAAAACGGCCATTTTGTTGTACTGTTTCAATACTGCAGGTGTACTTCAGGAACATACTGTATTAATGTACTCTACTGCATATAATTTGTGAACATTTACATGATTTGTACACTTTGAACTCCCTTTCAGGATGAAAGGGACTGAAAAAAATCATACCGAGAGATTCTCTAAATTCCCCTCTAATATCTATTCTATTCTTTTATAGGAGAACATTTTGTAATCTAAAAAAAAAATAAAAAGATTTTACCTTATGTTGTCCTAGTCCGACAGGGGTAGACTGCCCTCCTGTATCAGAACCTAAAATACAATAAAATTCTAAAAAAGTTTTTTGTGAAAACCATTAACATCTCACGTACACACTTGTTATGTTTCCAATAAACAGACAGCGTAAATTGTTGTCTGTAGTGCTTGGCAAAGTTTCGTTAACAAAACTGAGGTTTTAGAAAATAAACGAAAGAGTTCGTTAACGCGTTAGGACTGTAATAATGGTTGTTGAAAGTTTTTCCGTTAATACCGTTAAAAAAATCGAGATCGTTAACTTACAGTAACTTTAATAAAAACGGAAAATACCGTTAACAAAACCAAGTTTCATTCCTACTCTCTAAAACTGACAGCTACCTGAGATTTTATTTTCGAACGGTTTAAACTAAACGTTAACGAAACGGCCTGACACGATGAAACGTGTCCAGCCCTAAGTCTGTTTTTGAGTTTAACGTTACAATGTTTTCAAGAATGCACCATGAACTCTAAAATTATATTCATGACATCGAAATTATAGATAGAGAATATTAGGAAATATAATTTAGCTCAACATCTACAGAATGCAAATTACAGCTTTTCTAGCAGGCAACCCGCATTAACAAACTAAATCAAAAAAGATTAAAGAAGCCGATCTCCAAGAAGTCCGTTGATTTCCGTGTTATTTTGACATCCTGAACTCACTAGAATTTTCGTAACGACTAGGGGATGGTTCATTTTGTAAAGTGCATGTCCTGATGCCTAATTTAAAGAATTTAAACGGAGTTGCTGAACTGGTGAAAACTGTTTTCAATTGAGCGCCGGTTCAAGTTTCGAAACACTGAATACAATTTCAAGTGAAACCAACCATGTTTAAGCCACGTCTCTAATTTGAAATTTGGCTCAAATTCTTTAAATTTGGCCCTTTTTTGGTTAACATAGTCTGTTTGTGTAATGTAGGTTTTTTTACATGATCAAAAAAACGATAGTTTTTGTTTATTTTTATTTTTTCCAAAATCTATCGTTTCGTTTTTACAAAAAGCAAACGTTTTTGAAAATGAACCACTTGATTTAAACTTTCAAAACACTTTTGAAAACGATAGTTTTTTTCGATAATGAATCTGAGTTTTATATCAAATAATTTCATTTTTCTTTTCTGGAAGATAGGTTATGGATGTTGTCTTTATTGGTTTGTTCTTATCGAGACAAATAACCGTAACATTTATTCTCTCTTTAAAAAGTTGTTTATGAATGTTAAAGAATAGTCATTGTTAAAGGTTGTTAATAAAAAACAATCATTTTAGAAAACCACCGTTTTTAAAAAACGATATTTTTTTAAGATGATCGTTTTCAAAAATGATCGTTTCGTTTTTCATTTTTTCTTCATTGTTTAAAAAGGGATCGTTAACGATTGTTAAGAAAGGATCTTCGTTAGCAGTCGTAAACAAAGGGTCATTTTCAAAAACTACCGTTTCATACATACACTGTAGATCAGAATGTTACCTGGAGCTGCAGCTAGTGCTCTAAGCGCACCAAGGTCAACCTGCTGACCTGCATCCATCTCAGCTACCTGGAAACAAATCTAGACTGGCTAAATTGTCATTAATCACACGATTGTAGATTTCTGAAATTATGGCAGGCAAGAACATGGACAAGATGTGTCTCATTCCGTACAAAAACTACGCCATTTTCTGAGAGATACGACTTTAAAGGTTAAATTATTTTCAAATGATGCCACATTAAAAAAGGAAAATATTTTGACCTGGTATACTTGAGTTGCTATGCTGTGAACATCTACACCTCCTCCTAGAGATGTCCATCGTTATTGCGAACGAAATTTTTTCTTTGAACGAACAACATTTTTCATGAACAATGTTGGGGATCTGTACAATTGTCGAGCAATAAGAAAACATTTAGTATTGGAAGAGAAATAAAAACCATAATTTTTTTAATTTTACTGAATGACAGATTTTGTTGAAGGGAAGGAACGATTTCATTGAAGGAACGATTTTACTGAAGTAAGGATCTCACTAAACGAACGATCTCAATGAATAAAGATCTCACTGAAAAAAAAAACTATTTCATCAAACGATTCTATATTAGAAAAACTAACAAAATATATGGAAACTTGGGAAAAAATGTTGAGAATGAACTATCTTGTAAAAATATTTGCTGAAGAAATGAAAAAAACGAGCAAAATTGAAAAAAGCTGAATGTGTCCATCTCTACCTCCTCCTCTTCCCCTCCACATCTTATCCCAGCCTCCTCCCCCTCCCTCTCCCTCATCCAGTTCTCCAGGTAGAACCTAAACAATATTTTTTTTACATTTATCACATTCAACTCATGTACATTTTAATCTGAGCTCAGCCAACATGATCTAGACCTTTACGGTCCTATAGTTTGTACTGCTTCACCCGGTACACCAACAACACTGGCAGAGATTTGGCAGCGGTCAATAAATTTGGCATAGCTCTTTAGGCAGGGCTAGCTGGTGCAACTAGGGCTGGTCAAAGTTCTGTTAACAGAATGGAGGTTTTCGAAAATTAACGGAAGAGTTCGTTAACGGACGGCAGAAAGGCCGTTACTTTTTACACTGTAATGGGACGTGATATCCGATTTATGATGGAACTTTTTTGTATGATTATCGAATGCATGATTTGTCTGTACTTTAAAATTGACTAGAAGGTTTCTTAAGGAGGGACAGTGGAGAAAATTGTCAGAATTTAACACTAATTGTTAACTAGAAACATCAGGTGAAGGTTTCAAGGATAGTAACGCTGTGAATCGGACATGTCCTTTTCTTGGTAGTCGCTAAAATATCACCGATTTTTGCAAACACTCCCTTTTATAGAACAGTCAGAGGATTTGACTGCATGAAAAGCTGGATCAAAAGATCTCAGATTTCAGAATCTCTAATAAATCCTATTCCACAAGAATTAAGTATGAATCAAAAATGGATCAAATAAGGATAACAAATCATGATATCCTAGCTTTCTCAAAGAACAAAAGTAAATACTTCTTCTTCTCAAATACTTTATTAAAAACAAAAGAACACTTATACACTTAGAATATAATTATTGTTATAAAGTGGCTTGTTCTCCCTCTATAGTTTCAGATAAAATAACAAACCTGATTTCAAATATTCCATGAAAGAAGAAATAGAGATAAACTTTTAATAAATCTGCAAAAATTATGGATTTATGAATTTGTATTTTAAAAGTAAAATACTGATAATAAAAAGTAATTAAAACTTTTTATTGATAAACTTTTACAAAAAATGTTTATATAAATTTTACTTTTTGAAAAATTCTGTGAATGAAATTATTTTTGTGGCTCATATGGCTGAGATATATTAACTAAAACCCAATATCCTGTGAATCCCAAATAGTTGGGAATATTACCGGAATCCCAATATCCTGTGAATCCCAAATAGTTGGGAATATTACCTGAATCCCAATATCCTGTGAATCCCAAATAGTTGGGAACATTACCTGAATCCCAATATGCTGTGAATCCCAAATAGTTGGGAACATTACCTGAATCCCAATATCCTGTGTATCCCAAATAATTGGAATATTAACTGCATCCCAATATTCGGTATATCCCAAATAGATGGAAATAATATCTTAATCCCAATACTCTGGTTATACCAAAAAGTTGGGAATATTAACTGAAAGCTGAATCCCAATTTTCTGTTTATCCCAAATAGTTGAGAATAATACCCAAATCTAAATATCATGGGTATCCCAAATAGTTGGGAATAGTACCTTAATCCCAATATCCTTTTATCCTGTGTATCCCAAATAGTTGGGAATATTAACTGAATCCCAATATCATGTGTATCCCAAATAGTTGGGAGTAATACCTGAATTCAAATATCCTGTGTATCCCAAATAGTTGGGGAATATTAAATGAATCCCAATATTATATGTATGCCAAATAGTTGGGAATAATACCTGAATTCCAATTTCCAGTGTATCCCAAATAGTTGGGGAATGTTAACTGAATTCCAATATCCTGTGTATCCCAAATAGATGGTAATAGTACCTATATCCCAAATAGTTGGGAATAATACCTGAATCCCAATATCCTGTGTATCCCAAATATATGGGAATAGTACCTAAATTCCAAATAGTTGAGAATAATACCTGAATCCCAATATCCTGTGTGTCCCAAATGGTTTGAACAAAAGCGTCCTTCCTTGAGCTAGGTTCGGGGGAGATGGAGGTGTTTATTTGTGTAGATTTTGCTTTTTCCAGAGGGCTTCCTCGGAACACTATTCTCTGATCCGTCTGCACAAATATTGGAATTAAACTCTTTTTGTTTTTAAAGAGACGAAATACGTGAATTTCAACCGACCCTCCATTTATAGATCGGAAAAGTACCTTTCTATAATTTCTATAATTGAAAAAAAAAAATTCGCATAAAATTTATCGTTTTCCAATCTGGTTTCTTCTTCAAGTTTTGATACAGAGACAAGAAGAGAATTTGACAGGGTGTAAATATTGTTCAAGATATAAAAACGACAATTTCTTCCTCTTTTTTACTCAGATACATAGAGGTTTATAGGGTACCGTTGTCAATCAGACATGCCCAATCGTTTACTGACAGGCAAATAATGTTGTTAATATTAACATAATATTAACATAACATAGTAGGTTCAGTAGAAGTAAATATTTCCATTAACTGAAAGCGCCTATTGAAGGATTCATAACTCTGATTGGATAATGAGCTATATAGAAAGATAGAAGTTTTTGCAATTTCTATTGGTTCAGAATAAACACCAAACACATGACTAAACCCCCGATTGAATCAGGCGCTAATGGACTCGGCATACATAATAATGTATTTTTTGTGAAAAAATCCAATAAAATGGAATACAATACAGTTAAGGGGTGAATATAAAGTGAATTTCAGTGGATTATAGAGTCAATTCTAAATAATTTCGATAATATTTCTTGTTTTTGTTCATAAAAAAATGCTGCATAACCATAACTTACTAATTAGCAGGAGAAAAGGGTTTGAAATAGAGAAAACTCACTAACGATTAAAAATTGCCCAACCACGGGCAGCCGTAGTACATTTGAATTTCCGTTATAATATGACTTTATAACTATTTTTCTTTATGAAAACGTTATAATATGACTGTATAACTGTTTTTCTTTATGGAAACGTTATAATATGACTTTATAACTGTTTTCTTTATGGAAACGTTATAATGTGACTTTATAACTGTTTTCTTTATGGAAACGTTATAATGTGACTTTATAACTGTTTTCTTTATGGAAACGTTATAATGTGACTTTATAACTGTTTTCTTTATGGAAACGTTATAATGTGACTTTATAACTGTTTTCTTTATGGAAACGTTATAATGTGACTTTATAACTGTTTTTCTTTATGGAAACGTTAAAATATGACTTTATAACTGTTTTTCTTTATGGAAACGTTATAATATGACTTTATAACTGTTTTTCTTTATGGAAACGTTATAATATGACTTTATAACTGTTTTTCTTTATGGAAACGTTATAATATGACTTTATAACTGTTTTTCTTTATGGAAACGTTATAATATGACTTTATAACTGTTTTTATTTATGGAAACGTTATAATATGACCACTATTGAGTTCGTACACTTTAGGTTTGAAGAATTTACCAAAACTAAACCCTAATTCCTTTTAAATAGTTATGGTTTCGTCTAAATTACTTTTAATATTGATTTTTGTTCAAATTTAAACATTTAACTTGACAACCCTTTCCCCTCATGGTGCATTTACTGTAATATACTGCCTACAGCCTACAGGGTGATTTTAATAAATTTTTTCGACATTAAAATTAAAAAGAACAAAACAAAGTTCATTTCATGCATGCTTTTTTTTATTTTTTGAAAGAATTATTTTTGTGTTTCCATTCTGTTGTAAAATCTAAAATTAAATATTGAAAAGGAATTTATATTTTTCATTTCGAGAGTATTAAAAACCCCTTATTCTATTTTATATTAGGTCTTAACCTTTTTCCCTTTTTTTTAATGAATTTTAAAAAAAAGGAAAGTTTATAATTTAAGTGATTAACCTTCTAATTATTCAGACTTATTATGATTTCATTGATTAACCTAGTTTACCTAAAGTTGGGAATTTAAACTATTTAAAAAAAGCTAGAATATGATATTTCTTTATATTTATTTTAAAGATACTCAGGCAAAACGTTAAAGGGTACCACGGTAAGTGTTAATTTACAGTATAGTTAAAACTATGATGAAAAAAGTTTTAACTCACTTGTACAATTGCATCGCTGGGTGCAGGTTTTGAAGATGGAACTCTGGATGGGAGTTGAGTCTAAAAAAATTTAATTTTTGTATTTTCTAGAAATTTAAATTTTCTACATTTTAACTTTTTATTTTATCAAGTAGTCCTAAATGAACCAATTCCTGAGTTTATGTATCTTTTTATCAAGTAGTCCCAGATGAACCAACTCCTGAGTTTTAATATCTGTTTATCAAGTAGTCCTAAATGAACCACTACCTGAGTTTCAATATCTGTTTATCAAGTAGTCCTAAATGAACCACTACCTGAGTTTCAATATCTGTTTTATCTGAAAGATCCCAATCGAAATCTACTCCTTCGGCAGAATCTGTCTGACACTCAATATTTTTATTCCCAGTCCGACGAATCTAAAGAAAAATGTGTTTGGAAAAATAAATATTATATTTGGTTTGGAATTAATTAGCCAATATATTTACGATTTAAGCTTATTCATGCATATTCAGTTTTAGTAGAAAGTGTATTCTAATAAAAAACAATTTTCAATATCCACGGGTACACAATACATTACACAGATAAGGGACTGTTTAAGTGTACCGTTGTGATTCGAACATGGCATTCTGCAAATGGGGTGCATCATTTAAAATAAAGGTAAAGGTACTGTAATCTTAATTTCAAATTTCAAGTGCATGACCCTACATGCAAAAATGAAAACCTTGAAACCTTTATCTGATCAAAATTTAAGAGATGTTGTGGTTTTTCTAGGTTTAATGGGAGTGTCTGGCTCCGCATGGTAATTAAGCTGAGAATGCAGTATTGTAGACATCTTTTTTATGATTCATTTGATATCTTTCAGACGTTTTTACAGTGCATATTTGTTCAGCAAGAGCGTTAATTCAATCTTTGAAATCTTCATAGATTGTACATTTTAGAGGGAGGATTTTGAGAATCGTTTTTTTTAAATTATTCAATGACGACTACGAAAAATGTAACTAAAACTCTACAGTAACGTCTGATAGGTCTCAAATGAATTTCTCCACAATACTGCATTCTCAGCTCAACTACCATGTCTAGCCAGACAGTCCCTTAAAAAAAATTTTCCCCAGATAAACAAAAGTTCAGAATGTAATTCTTATAACGTTTAAACCTGAATAATATGATTGTTGGAAGAATCAGTTTCTGCTCTAAGATCTACGACAAGTACTTGAACTCCTTCCTGTCCTTCTCCCTCGGGCGGATGAACATCTCCTCTCCCTGTCTCCAGGTTGGTACTGGAGCCCCATGGATCGAACAAGGGGCGGGATCTCCGGTATTCAGAGAAGATCAGTTTTTCATTCTCGTCCCTACTATTCACCAAACTAATGAATAAATTGGGAATTGGGAATAGGAAGTGATTGCTTTGTTCACGCCACGTACTGTATATGCATTCAGTCATACTGTCCATTCTGACTACCCAGTGTATAGAATCTACACACCACGTTGTATGCAACAAATGCAGCCTGGCAAGATCAATGTATCAATTGATCTTAAATTATTCAGTGTCCGAATTTAATGAATATTAGCCGCGTCTCAAATCCCCCAAAAACCGGTTTCGATTGAGCGCCGGCTTAAATCTTGAAAAATTCAATACAATTTTAAGTGGAACCAACTATATTTGAGCCGCGGCTCAAATTCTTTAAATTCGGCCTCAGGTGTTTCAATTTGCAATTTTGTCAAACATTTCAAAATCATCAAAATACGCTATGATTGGTTTAAAAATCTGTAATATAGAATCCGAAATAAAGTCTAATTTAACCCCATTAAAAATATTGGAAACAAAAATTTAGTACAGATAGAATTCGATTTTTTTGTTATTTCCGTTTTTTAAAAAAAATCAGGTTTCCTAAACACGTGGCTTTTTTAACGTAATTGCAAGTATTTTCGTGCAATTCCACAGTTAGTAATAAAGTAGATAAAATTTTGAACTTTTTGGTGTCTGACGATTAGTCGATGTTTTTTCTTTTAATGCAGTTACTAACAAAATTTACAAGAGAACTCTTATTGGGAATTGTTCGAAACTATTGAAAACAAACCATTTCAGATTTCATTGTATTCGACTTAAATTGTGGAAATGAAATTCATAACAACGCTCTTACGCTAAAATTAGGCAGTATTTTGCCAATTTCTCCTTTTACACCTAAGTTCCAATCTCTGAAAGGTATATGCCCAGAGTCTAAAACTAAAGAACGAAAAGATTTGACTTAAATCTTAAGTTCATGGTTAAATGTCACTTCTGACTTAATTTAAACCTGAACTTTAACCGTGAGGTTAAATATTTAACCACAGGGTTAAATATTTAACCCTGTGGTTAAATATTTAACCCTGTGGTTAAATATTTAACTCGCCGAAATCGATGAGTTAAAATCTTGAATCGAGGGTTAAAATCTTGAATCGAGGGTTAAAATCTTGAATCGAGGGTTAAAATCTTGAATCGAGGGTTAAAATCTTGAATCGAGGGTTAAAATCTTGAAATCCCGCAATCCCGATTTGTCCATCATCATTCAGCGGTAAGCGGCATTCAACTAATTACGATATATTTAAAAGTAAAAACCTTGATTTAATAAATTTCACGTTTTAGATTAATTAATGTTTGCACGTAAATAGTTTAAAATTTAAAAATCAGCTGATTACCAATAGTTACGCAATAATTCTTTTCTCTGATCGGTTCAGATTTTCCCGGGAAATTCAAATTTAAAATTGAGAAAGTTAAATATTTAAATAGCTATTCATTATTTTACAGAATTTTTAACCTCGAACTTAAAATTCGCGCATTCTTTAGTTTTAGACTCTGAGCTACAAAAAGTTGGTGAGGTTAAAACTAAAGGTCAACCCTTAGCGACACTTCAAAGTCAAGGCTGTTTAAAAATTTGATTAATAACTTCCAGACTAAATTTCAGTGTTTGCAGGAACCATTTTACCGAACGGGTAATACACATAAAAAAGCACAAAATAATTTTAGAAAAAATGTTGTTTTTTTCATTTTTGTTTGCCTAGTGTACGCCTTCTTCTTGCTTAAACAACATCCCATTGGATCGCTGGCTTCTAAACATAATGTACTTTTAAACTAATATGTTATCATATACTTAAAAGAAAATCAAGGTTACCCACAGAGGATGAAACTTCAAAGACGACTGTACGAAATTTATACTACGTCTGTTTCCTTATATTCAAGATTCCCTGCAACTGATAACAAGAGTGTAAAGTCGTCTTTACCGTCTCATCCTTTGTGAGTAACCCAGGGGGATGATAGTTCTCTACCTATGTGCTCAGTTAGCTGTACTGTACACTTACAACTGATTACTAATATTGATATAATATAGGTTAGGCCAAAGACTTTGCTAATTATAAAGACGAGGCGTTGGAAATTTCTCCGACTATTGTGTACGCCTGTACAGCTGTATTTTGACGTCATTGGTTATGAAACGTCAACAGGTTAAATATATAATTTTCCGGAGAAGACGACATTAGTTACTATCTTTTGGTACCCGAGAAAATGCGTCAAATTTGCGTAGATTTTCTGATGCGCTATCTTTAATTAGCAAAGTCTTTGGGTTAGGCCAGAATCAACTTATAATAAAGAAATATGCAGTACGCTCTCGGTATAGTTCATGATGGCCTATATATTTAGTAAAGGATTAGCGTACATCATCACTCTAAATTCCAATTTCAGATTTAACTCCAAGAAAGATTTTTTGCTTGAAAATTGTGATTATTTTTAGAAAGATTGTGAATAGAGATATGCAGATATTAAATTTTATATAATTTTTTTATATGTGTATGTATGCAGAATGTATGTAAACATATTAGATATAGTTAGATATAAAGATATAAAGTAGATAGATTAGATATAGTTAGATATATATAGATATAAAGTAAATAGATTAGATATAGTTAGATATATAGATACAAAGTAAATAGATTAGATAAAGTTAGATATATAGATACAAAGTAAATAGATTAGATATAGTTAGATATTTAGATATAAAGTAAATAAATTAGATATAGTTAGATATATACATATGAAGTAAATAGATTAGATATAGTAAGATATATAGATATAAAGTAAATAGATTAGATATGGTAAGATATATAGATGTAAAGTAAATAAATCAAATCAAATCAAATATATATATTTGTCCCAAGCCAAAAACATAGAAAATATCATATTTTAAAACATATTTATAAACTTGAGACGGGGAGGCATTGATAGCCAGGGGCTGTTTAACACGCAGCCTCCCACTGGAGAGTCAGTTTTTGCAATGATGCTGACTTGAAGAAGAGGT